GATCCGTGCCACCAGGAAGAACAATGCCAGAAGGAATTCCAGGAGACGTGAATGCTCCGTTTCCACCGGCTCCTCCAGTGGTCAACCCACCTGGTGGTGTGAACGCTGCTGAGGTCTTGGCTGTGAGTACAGAATTGGCTCGGCAGATCTCAGAGTGTGCCAACAGGCTTGCAAGTGTAACTGAAGACCTGGGCATCACCATGGAGCATTTCACCCAAGGAAAAATGGAAATAAAGAAAGGATTTGAGGAATTGAGTGCCCAGATCCTGAATCAAGCGACCTGCATCACAACGATGACATCAGGAGTGTCGTTTCAGGCTGGAGAAACGACCAAGCTTCTCAAAGCGTTCGACAGGTGGGCTGCCACTGGTCGTTGGGCTCTGGCTGGCAACCAGCCAGTGGAAGCCAACATAAGGGGAGTCCAAAGTGAGATAGAGAAGCAGACAGAGAGGTTGGAGACCAACCTCAGTTATGGCTTTGAAAGCATTGGGAAGCATCTTCAAGAGATGGTGAGGCTCCTAGAGGAGCGAGCTCAGAGTACTGCACTTCCAGCTGCAGTGGGAGGAATTGGAACTCCTATTACACCTGGAGGGATTGGTACCTCTGGGATCGCCATCCCACCCATGGCTGGAAGTCTAGGAGGATCAGCAAATCCCGGGCATGCCATGGGAGGTGAAGGAATTCCTCACATACCAGGAACGGCCAGTACCCCTGGAACTACTGGACCTGCTCCTGCACCAGCAGTCCCACCACTTCCACCAGCAGTTCCACCACGTGCGGCAGAGCCAGTGTCACTCTTTATGGCGTTCTGTCCGGAACAGCCGAACGGGCAGAGACCAAATGCTCCCCTTCCGATCCCAACACCGTGCCAGCGTGTGGGCATCGTCACCAGAGATGCGGGAACGGGTGTGCAGAGGACATTGTCACCAACGGCATATCGTCCTGAACAAACCACCGGAATCACCAGTCACTGGGCTCCCCAGGGATTGGGGATGATTCGTGATGGCAACTCTCAGTTCAGGAGGATTTACTGAGAATGTGTAGATTTGGGAAATCGACTACTGAGAGTTGAGGGAAGCCCGTCTGCTTCTTTTGGGTGGAACCCATGATGTATATTCCTTTCTGAATTTCTTGCAACCTGTGCGGTAGAGAGAATAGCTGGTAAATGGTATTTCAACCTTTGGCCAGCTCGAGGTTCACTCTATTCAGCATGTATTCGTTGCCGTCACTTCAGATCTCTGTGCTCAGCAGAAAAGGAGAGAGGGAAAGCGGATCTTGAAAGGGGGCGAGAGGATGCATTAGTGCAACCTAGAAGAAGTTTGCATCATGGAGTTGAGTTGGATCTTGGAAGGATCAAATCTTGGTAGTGAAAGTGGATGTGCTGTACATGCATGAGGCATAGGTTGCACATGAGCATGTTTGTGGATTTGTGGTGAGTTTGTGTTTTGTGATTGTTGTTTTTTGGTTGTTGATGGTGGTTTGTGTTTGTTTGCCGCCACTTTCCAGATGATGACATGGCCAGATCTGATTCTCAAATGAGAGGAGAATCAAAGAGGATCCAGGCTAAATGTCTGATGGAAATACATGTAATTTTTTTTGCTTGGTCACAGTTTTTTTAGTTTTGTTTTTCCTGTTTGCCCATGGATGTCAGTGGATTGGACATCCCTGACTTAAGGTACATGTCAATATGGTTGGAATTGTACTCTTGACGTTTCTAGAATTGGTTGCAAGTTTGTTTTGGTAATTTGTTTTTTGTCACTATGCGATAGATCAGCTTTCATGCTGATCAGAATTCATTTCTTTAGTGATGTTTGAGGATTGATGGATTTTACCTCAAAAGGGGGTAAGGTCTATCTTTGGAAATATGTCCTGAGCTTAGCGCGCCTAATGCTTAGATTGTCCGGAGCTGAGTCTGCGTGATGCATCAATGTCTTGACTGCTCAAGACATTGTTGCACCACGAATGTGGATTTTCTCTGAGTAGTTTTGGACTGATGACAGTTTCGCTTGTCTGACACGCCTATCTTCCATCGGAAGACGTGGATTAGCTGTAACAGTCGGCCTTTGTTTTTTTGTGTTGACTCCGACAGTGCTTCGTCTGTCTTCGTCTTGGATCTCGTGTGTGTTGTTGGTGTTTTCTCGTTTGTTCTAGGGAACAACAAACAGCACTGTAGTTGATCGTGGATTGACGCCATGGTTTCTTTGATCAGTTGATGATCTGGTATTGGAAGAAAGACATCGTTCCGAAGAGATACCTTGGGACGGTTGATGGATTCTGAGCTGGTGATGTTGACTGGTTGAGGGTAGATGGGAGCTGTGCCCATGGAGATGTCTATGGAGTATGGCTGAAATCAGCGTCGGCGGTGGTTATGGATATGTATAGACTGTTTATTTATGATGAACGAAGCGTTGGAGGAGCAACCGTTGTTTTGAGAATCATCCAGGGTTGGAGTGATTCTATTCTATTCTCACTCTTGAACAACTTCAAGCGGGAAGATATTTTTGAGAATCAGTTGATTTCTCAGAGACAGTTGTAGTTTTGGAAACTTCGTGTATTTCAGAAGAGTTTGTTCTGGGAAGAGAGTGGTTAAGCCATGATCTCAACGTGACTCTGGTCATCGATGCGTGGGCTTTGCGATCATGAATGTCTCAAGGGAGACCTGACTTATTGGAAAGGTCTATGTAGCGAAACAGAGGTATCTGGCTTTGATTGCAATTTCTGTTAGACACATAGTGTCGCTTTGGGTTTTTGCGGTCCAGCTGGACGAGATTGGGATCAATGTACAATAGTTCATTAGATGATGCTTCTATGATACTGCATTTGACATCGATATTCATTGAGATTCTGCAAAGACTTCATTTGTGCTGGTGGATGGAGAACATCTACAAGCACTTCAACAAAGTCTTCAACATTATTTCGAAGATGTGCTGAACCGATTGAATGTCGAAGTTTATTGGCGAATACAACGTCTTCTACACCTCTGACATTGAAGGTATGTCGAAGTTCATACTGGATGTGAATTTTAGTATGTATGTAAAGAGAGAGATGAATGTCATGTCGAAAGGGGGTGTGGAAGTTTGTCACCCTTATGGGGTTGCAACTTGGCATTGGTGTGACAAGCATTCATTGAGTCTTCAGTAGTGAAACTGGGCTATGGGAAGGTGTCTACAACAGACTTAAGTAGTTTCGATATTCCTTTGTGGTGCACGGAGCTGCAAGAGATGATTTGAGATGTCGACCTGTGGGTCTGAGTGAATCTACACGGAGCTCAAGCTACTTTGAATACAGTTTGAAGCTTTATTTAGCTTTGTGATAGTGGGCGAATGCTTTCGGAAGCATTCGCTATACAGTTGAGTCGGGAAGTGTGTGTCCTGCTTGCGGGCACAATCTGACGAGGCATGAAGAATTTTCACCCGAACCAGCAGTTTCCTGCCTCTGCCATGCAACTCACATGCAACTCACATGCAACACACATGCAACACGACATGCAACAGGAGCACTTTTCCTGAGAATTCTCAATGAAAGTGCCCGTTTCGACGCTTGGCGGCCCAATTCCTCTTTTAAAGTGGTTATTCCAAACTTTCTCACGCGAGGCGCGTTTTCATTGAGAATTCTCAGGGAAAGTGCTCGTGTTGCATGTCGTGTTGCATGTGTGTTGCATGTGAGTTGCATGTGAGTTGCATGGCAGAGGCAGGAAACCGCTGATTCGGGGGAAATTTTTCGTGCCTCGTCAGATTAGGCCCGCAAGCAGGGCACACACTGCCTTTGTCGTCTTTGCCAACAATCAGGGTATGTTCTGCACTGTGGCTTCTTCGGCCCTGGGCAGCAACTGCAAGGATAAAACAAGGTCCGGGCTGGGCTTTTAAATGCAGAAATTATTTGCTCCAGCGTGTGCGTGCACATCCATAAATCCAAAAATCTTCCGTAGTCCGGAAAAAAAACAGCCATCCTCTTATATGTTGTCACATCACCCTGGATGCCCCCGCGCCCCCGCAATCAATGTTGTTGACCGGACCATGCCGGCATCCGAACGGAAATGGCTGTTTTTTTTGAAGGCTGTGCCAGGCAAAGCTATGCAACAACATTGAATCAGGGGGATGGGGGGTTGGAAAGATTCTTTGGCGTGATGGTTGCCGCATGGCTGTTTTTTTTGAAGAACCCGGACTACGTCCGGGGAAGATTTTTGGATTTATGGATGTGCACGCACATGCTGGAGCAAATAATTTCTGCATTTAAAAGCCCAGTCCGGACCTTGTTTTATCCTTGCAGTTGCTGCCCAGGGCCGAAGAAGCCACAGTGCAGAACATACCCTGATTGTTGGCAAAGACGACAAAGGCAGTGTGTGCCCTGCTTGCGGGCACAATCTGACGAGGCATGAAGAATTTTCACCCGAACCAGCAGTTTCCTGCCTCTGCCATGCAACTCACATGCAACTCACATGCAACACACATGCAACACACATGCAACACGACATGCAACAGGAGCACTTTTCCTGAGAATTCTCAATGAAAGTGCCCGTTTCGACGCTTGGCGCGTTTTGAGGCGCGTTTTCATTGAGAATTCTCAGGAAAAGTGCTCGTGTTGCATGTCGTGTTGCATGTGTGTTGCATGTGTGTTGCATGTGAGTTGCATGTGAGTTGCATGGCAGAGGCAGGAAACTGCTGATTCGGGGGAAAATTTTTCGTGCCTCGTCAGATTAGGCCCGCAAGCAGGGCACACACTGCCTTTATCGTCTTTGCCAACAATCAGGGTATGTTCTTGAACAAAGTTTACCCAACCATACATGTGTCAATACATACATGTACTTGCTGTCATTTTGGTGTTGCATAGCATAGCCATTGAAACCTTTGGCAGCTTGTCAGTTCATGTGCAAAGACATATACGTTGAGGCGTTTCTTGATCGAGCAAAATCAGCATGGTAGCGGAGCCCGATGACCCAGCAATAGCTGGTGAGGGCATCCTTTAGATATAGCTTAGGGTGTTAGCCTAGCGTTGGACGTATGGCATCCCTTAGTGCTGACAATGTTGCACAGTTGGTGCAAGCTGCAACTGATGCTGCGAAGGCAGCCAGTGAAGCTGTGTTGGCCTTGAAGGAGCAGCAAACTGCTCGAGCTGGACTCAATGATGGTTTCAAAGAGGCCTCCAAGGTGATCCGTCAACCAGAGCCTTTTGGGTCTGAAGTTCATGAAGAGGACTTAGGACGATGGCAGGATTTCAATGTGAATTTCCGTGCTTGGCTTTTCTATGGCAACAAGCACTTCGAGGGTGACCTGCATAGGATAGAATCTGTGCATGGAGATATCCCTATACCCAGCATTGATGGAGAAGCCCCAGAAGTTCAGGACAGATGCAGCCAATTATACAGCATACTCACTGGTTTGCTTCGTGGAAAACCACTGCGCATGCTCAGACAAGTTGAACGCAGGAATGGATTTGAGGTTTGGCGTCAGCTTAGCCAGATGTTCCAGCCTAAGACCAAAAGCCGAGCCATTTCCATTCTCTCTGCACTTGTCAATGTTCCCAACTTTGTGATGAAGGGCAGGACTTTGCTTGACCAAATACTTGGCCTTGAAAGACTTAGAGCTGAATATGTCAGAGCCAGTGGAAGTGACATCGCCGATGACGTGATGCTTTCTGTACTGGTTAGAGCGCTGCCTAAGGCACTGCAACAGCATGTTCAACTTCAAATGTCAGAGACCTCCTCCTATGACCAAGTGCGCACCATGGTGATCTCCTACGAGCGCACCACTACAAGCTGGAGTGCAGGCAAAATCCATAGCGAGCTGGGCATTTTGTCTTCAGGCCCGTCTTCAAACGTTGTTTCAAATAATGGCGTGGCCCCTATGGAGATAGATCGTGTTGAAAAGGGAAAACAAAAGGGTAAATCGAAAGGAAAGTCCAAAGATAAGGGTAGCCCCAAGGGTAAAGGTAAAGGTAAGAATGAAAAGGGTAAAGGGAAGTCATCCCAGCCATCTCAGAGAGCTGCAACTGCGAATGACCAATGCCTTCACTGCGGCCGCTACGGCCATGTCAAGCGTGACTGCTGGAAGCTTCATGGAAAGCCAGACTCCAAGAAGGTGAACCAGGTTGAATCGCAGACTGCAACCTCCACTGCAACTTCTTCCAGTGGTGGTGGCCCTTCCATTTCACCGCCTTCTACAGCAGCAGCTAGTTCAGTGCGTTTGTTTACAAGCCTTGAGCACATGCATGGACCTTTGATCGAAGATCTGGACGATGTAGAAGTTTGTGACCTGACGATGCATGATTCAAGTGGCTTTTGCAACATGGTTTCACAGATGCATGATGGACTTGACACTCTGGACTCAACATGCGATGGTGTATACATGGAGTGCTGCGAGTGTTTTGACATGTCGTATTCAGATAGTGACAGTAACTGGACCATTTGTGATTTTTCAGATGACACTGCTTTGCAAACTTTTCAGATGACATTGGTTTGCAACCTTTTTCTGGCGTTTGTGAAAGAGATGATGAACCATTTTCAATCAGAGCTATTGGCCTTTCTGAGCCAAGAGACGTGGAGGTGGTGCTGGATTCTGGAGCTGATGGCTCTGTGCTGCCGTTGGAGTACGGCCACATTGGCCAGCCTGACCCTTCGTTTGATGGTTCTTCATTTGTTGATGCACAAGGTAAGCCTATTTGTATCAAAGATGCCAGGATTGCAGAAGTACGTTTCGGTTCTGTCATTTTCAAAGAAAGATTCATCATTGCTGCAGTGACCTCACCACTGATTTCCATGGGAAGGCTTTTGAAAGAAGGATGGTATTTGGAAAGGAACTCAGATGGCATGTTTTTGGCAAGAAACTCAAAACGTATTCCAGTGCATTTTCGAAGAAACTCACTTTGTGCAATGGGAGTGATACGCATGGTGACCAGTTCAGATACATCAATTTCTTCAGATTCCAGTCCTCCAGATATTCATGTACGAGCTTTGACATTGAGTTCAACTCTTTCTGGTTTGGCTCCAGGTTGGAACAGAATTGGTGTGGACACCTACGCCCTGCGAAGTATCTCTCCTCAGCATGTTGACACAACACTTTGTCCTCATGATTCTTTGCTTTGGTTGCGTACCGCATTGATTCACTATGAGGACGGCACTTGGGATTTAGAAGAGTTCAGCCAAAGCATTTCAGAGCTCTCCACAATGGTGGCACCCTTTGACACCAACAAGCGAGTGACAGAAGTCATCACCATTGCTCATACCAGTGTTGTCCCTCCTGAGGCCCTTGGATTTGCAATGCAATCTGATGATGTTGTACCACGACAGCGTATGGAGGTGATAGCACCACGTTCAGGTATTCCTTTGCAAGCATCTGGATCTGCTGACAGGCCAATGGGCGTTGAACCAGCAGAGGAAGTTCCAGCTGCTGAAGATGCTGAGTTACCAGTCCCTGAAAGGGATGCAGGCCCAGAACCCAATGAGATCTTGATTGATGGCGTGAAGCTTGATTCAAACACCACTTTGAAAACTTTGCGTACGGCATGTGAGAGTCTAGGACTAGCCACTGGTGGGAGTAAGAAAACATGTTTGAAGAGACTTTGGGATCATCTTCAGGCGCAGGAGATGATAGCTGCACATGGTGCAAAGACCCAACTACAGGCTGAGCTGCAGAGGCCAGTTCATGCACAACCAGTTCCAACAGATCCCACTGACAAAGAGCGTGCAGATCACATGCTTACACATCAACCTTATGCTGCTTGGTGTGAGCTTTGCGTTGCAAACAGAGCTGTTCAAGATCCACATCCCCAACGTGTTGAGGCCAGTGGAGACCACTCATGCGTAAGCTTTGACTTTGGCTACGCTTCAAGGTTTGATGGTGAGACTAAGGCTTGTGGACTTTTCATACATGACCGTGACACAGGTGCAATGCATGTGATTCCAACTCCTCAGAAAGGAGGCAAACACTTGGCTTATTTGTGCACTGAGTTTTGCAGGTTTATTACATGGTTGGGGCATAGCACAATTTCTTTGAAATGCGATCAGGAACCAGCTACGCTTTCTGTTTTGGAAGCTGTGCGTAAGACCTGTCGTGCCCTTGGAATCAAAACCCATGTTGAGACAGTTGCACCAGGATCTCATGCTTCAAATGGTGGAGCTGAAGTGACAGTCAAAGTTTTGAGGCAGAATGCCAACGTACTGATACAGCAACTTGAGCAAGGCTGTGGAATCTCGGATGTGATTGGGTGTCATCACCCACTATATCAATGGAGTCTTCTTCACAGTGCATGGGTTCACAACAGATTTGTTGTGCGCCAAGGCCTGGCCCCATACGAGATTTGCTCTGGCCGTTCCTACAATGGCAGACTTGCGCTTTTTGGTGAGAGTGTGCTTGGCTTTCTGAAGGTGTCTACAAAAGGCGCCCCTCAATGGACGAAGGGTGTTTGGCTTGGAAAGACTAGCTCAAATGATGTTCATATAATAGCTGTGCCAGGTCATCCAAGACTGTTTGTCACTCGAAGTGTGCGGAGGTTTCCAAAACCTTGGGATGGTGAAATGGTGGCCAACATGGAGGCGACCCCATGGCAGTTTGGCTATGCGTCGCTTGGCTCTCAGCTTGTTTTGGCAAAAAGAATATCATCCCCAGCACCTTTGTCTTTACCACCAGTTCCACCACGTGATCTTGATGCAGAGGCTGTCATGGGAGTTCCACCTATAGTCCTGATGAACATGCTGACGACGATGTTGGCCCAGTCCCTGCCACACCAGCCATGCCACGTGTTTTAGCTCCTCCTTCTACAAGTGTTTCTGTTCCTGCAAGGCGTGAACCTTATGATGACATGGAGGTGTCAGCTGAGGCGGGGATCACTGCAGAACATGGTACAAGTGCACCTGTGACTCCACCAGTTGAAGGAGCTACTAGCTCAACAGTTTCTGCAGGCGGTGCTGCAGATGTTTCTGTTCATGGAGCACAAGTGCACCAAAGAGATGATTTAGACGAAGGTGGTGACAGCAGGCCATCTAAGCAGCCAAGACTTTTACGCTTTTGTGAACATGAGGAAGATAGTCATGTAACCCATTTCGAGCCTGATGAGTTGGATGCACTAGAGGTGTATGAATATGAGTTGGACGATGATGAGGACGACAGTGAAGAGCCTCAGCTTAGCTCTTCAACTTGCAGTGATGATGTTCTGAAGCTTTTGACTGTGCCCTTTACGACTTTAGAGCCTGACATTAGCGGTGAACAACTCCTCCGACTTGACATGCTTGCTGACAGGGTGGAGATCGAGCGTTTGAAAAGCATGCAGGTTCTTCTACCTGTGGAGACCTATGACTGCAAAGGTCAGACCCCCAAACGTTTGACCACTCGAATGGTTAGAACTTGGAGAGACAAACATATACAAGGTCAACATGTGTGGCTTCGAAGGTCACGATACGTGGCACGGGAGTTTGCTTGGCTTTCACCAGATCGCCAAGATCTGTTTTCTCCAGCGAGTTCAGTCCTCACAGTTCGTCTTCTCCCAACACTATATATGAAATGGAAGCTCTCCAACTATATACTATGTGCCATAGATATAGCAGACGCTTTCCTGATGGTTGAACAGAAAGAGCTTACTCAGGTTACTTGCGAAGATGCTGCAGGTCAAACAACAGAGTTTATGCTGGGCAGAGTGTTGCCTGGACAAAGGAATGGATCTCAGCTTTGGCATGAATGTTTCAGCAATTTGCTGAAGTCAGAACTTGGCTTTGCTGAATGCGAAGCCTACCCTTGCTTGTTGAGGACAGGTGGATCCGAATGTTTGCTGATGCTTCACGTGGACGATGTCCTGTGCCTCAGCAACAAAGACTACTTGGAGTGTGTCTTGCTGCCTGCGTTGAAAGCAAAGTTTAAGATCTCCTGTGAGAAGGTTGAGAACCCGGGAGATGAATTGACCTTCTTGAAGAGGAGGCACATGCTTTTGTCTGAGAACGAGTTGGCTGTGCAAAGCCATCCAAAGCACTTGGAACGTTTGTTTGACTTGATGCACATCAACAGAAACCTCAAGCCCAAAAGAACGCCAGGCCATCCTATGTTGGATGAACCAGATGATACTGCAGAGCTTGGACCTAGTGATGCGAGCACATACAGGTCTTGCGTGGGAGTGCTGCTATACATTGCAGCTGACTATGTTGAGTGCCAATATACAATTCGAGGTTTGTCTCAATGTATGGCCAAACCAACTGTCAGAGCCCTTGCATGTTTGCGGCATTTGTGTATGTACTTGCTTGGATGCATTGACCATTGCATCATGCTTTCGTACAAGGCCCACCATGGGCTACTGCACTACAATGAGTTGGACTACACCTTGGAGGTGTATTCAGACAGCGATTGGGCTAAGCACAAAACCACAAGGAGAAGTGTTTCAGCAGGATGTTTGTTTTTGTTTGGCAACCTTCTTTACTCCACCTCCAGGAGTCAGAAAGCTTTGGCATTGAGTTCGGCTGAAGCCGAGATTTACTCTGCTGCAGGTGCTTGCTGCGATGGAGTGTTGATGTTCTACTGCCTTTCATTTGCAATTGGACCAGAACTGGAGGTGCGGTTTCAACTTTGTCTTGACAACTCGGCTGCTCGAGCATTCTTTTGCCGCTCAGGCGTGGGACGCATCAGGCATATTAGCCTGAGAATTCTGTGGGTTCAGGCAAAGGTGAAAGAACAGTTTTTACATGTTGGACGAGTTGGCACACATGACAATCCTTCAGACATTGGTACAAAACGACTGACCAGAGAACGTATGTTATACCTCATGTACCTCTGTAAGATATACGACCTTTCCTCCTCAAGTTTTGTTGGCTCCAATGCTGCAGAGACTGTGAAACAGAAAGAAGTGATGAAACAAGGTGTCAAAGTGTTCACAAAACATGGAAGTTCTCCCCAAGAGTCAAAACGACTGATGAGAATCCTTTTGCTCAGCGCCTTGAGCCTCCCTGAATCGATGGCTATGGAGTTCAATGTCAGCACCAGTTCTTCCACCACTGCTTCGATGTTTTGGTGGCAGCTTCTTTGCATGGTGTTGATGACTGCTCTTTGCATTGCGCTTGGATGGATCTTCTACTTGCAGTGGCAGATCAATGCTTTGCAAGGCAAGTGCTCTAAGCTTTCGATCGACACCAAGCTCTACAAGGTGCTTGACTTGTTAAAAGGGTATAAAGACAAAATGTTAGGAAAACATGAGAGTGGGGAAGAAGAAAATCAAGAGAGTGACCCAATTGTTGAAAACCCTGACACGACGAGTGATGTCCATACCATGGCTTCTGGAGATGCTACTCGTGGCCTTGATCCTCAGACTGTTCAGCTGATGCGTGACACCAACTCTGTTTTGCGTGCCCGATATGATCGACTTGAAGCCCTTTATGAAGAAGCTGAAATTGTCCAAGATGAGGACGCCATGTACACCCTCCAGAACCAGATGGACGAAGTCATGCAATTGATGTATGACATTTGAGTTTTTTAGCAAAAGAATCCATGCCCTTTGCTTGTGACATTAGAAGAATGTCTCATGGATTCGAACCAAAACTTTGGAAAACAACATTGGTCAAATGACCATGTTGAGGCGGGGTGAACAAAGTTTACCCAACCATACATGTGTCAATACATACATGTACTTGCTGTCATTTTGGTGTTGCATAGCATAGCCATTGAAACCTTTGGCAGCTTGTCAGTTCATGTGCAAAGACATATACGTTGAGGCGTTTCTTGATCGAGCAAAATCAGCAGTTCTGCACTGTGGCTTCTTCGGCCCTGGGCAGCAACTGCAAGGATAAAACAAGGTCCGGACTGGGCTTTTAAATGCAGAAATTATTTCCTCCAGCGTGTGCGCGCACATCCATAAATCCAAAAATCTCCCCCGGACGTAGTCCGGGTTCTTCAAAAAAAACAGCCATGCGGCAACCATCACGCCAAAGAATCTTTCCAACCCCCCATCCCCCTGATCCCCCTGATTCAATGTTGTTGCATAGCTTTGCCTGGCACAGCCTTCAAAAAAAATAGCCATTTCCGTTCGGATGCCGGCATGGTCCGGTCAACAACATTGATTGCGGGGGCGCGGGGGCATCCAGGGTGATGTGACAACATATAAGAGGATGGCTGTTTTTTTGAAGAACCCGGTATGTATTAAAAAACATATATTGATTTAGTGTATGAACACTTGGTTTTTTCCTAGTACGGGAAAAATACACAACATGAAGGGTTTTCAGAAACATCTATATTGGAAACCACAATTTGGTGTAAACATGGGCACAAAAACAATCAAAAACGATGTTGTGCAGTTTGTGATTTGTCTGACATTGCCGATGTGTACCATGGTTTGAGGTTTCCGGAGAGTTTTGCGGGCTCGACCGCTACTTCTTCAGCTCGTGGCCTGTACACCTCCAGCTGCACACCTGGCCAGTCTTTATCCTTTTCTTGGTACGTTTGTGAAGACAATTTCACTCCATAGAACCTAGCATGGATGTGCAGTACAAATGCATATCATTTGATGTCAGTACAGTTTGGCATGGAAACATTTCATGTCATGTCAGTTGTCATACATGTCCAATTTCATGTATATACTATGGATGAATCCGTAGGCGTTTTTGTGCGAGGATCAAAAGGGCGCTGCCAATCATGGTAGCGGAGCCCTAAAGGTCAAAAGGACCTAGGGCATCCACGGGACCGTTCAGACTTGGCTCGTTAGCCAGTCTTTGCTTGGCTCTTTAGCCACCTGTTGCCATGGCTGGCACTACGGTTTCTGCAGATGATTTGGGAGCTTTGATTCAGGCAGCCACCGAAGCTGCAAATGCTGCAGCTGAAGCCACAAAGGCCTTGAAGGCCCAGCAATCTTCGAGATCAAGCTTCCAGGAAGCATCAAAAGTTGTTCGTCTTCCTGAACCTTTTGGTAGTGAAAACCATGAGGACGACTTGGCACGATGGCAGGACTTTCAAGTGAATTTTCGAGCTTGGTTGTACTATGGGAACCCTTTGTTTGAACAAGATCTACATAGAACTGAGCTGCATGGTGCAAATCCCATTCCTGCTGTTTCTGGTGAACCTGATGAGGTGCAACAGCGATGCAAACAATTGTACAGTATCTTGACAGGTCTTCTTCGAGGAAAACCTCTTCGACTGCTTCGACAGGTGACAGAGCGAAACGGCTTTGAAGTTTGGAGACAGTTGATTCAGTTGTACCTGCCCAAGACGAAATCTAGGTCCATATCGCTGTTGTCAGCCCTCATGAACATCCCCAACTTCACCACCAAGGACCGGACACTTTTGGATCAGATTCTTGGTCTTGAGCGTTTACGCTCTGAGTATGTGCGTGCCTCTGGAACTGACTTGGATGACAACATAATGTTGAGTGTGCTGGTTCGAGCTCTTCCCAAAGGGATACAACAGCACATCCAGCTGCAGATGAGTGAGAATTCAACTTACAGCCAAATCAGAGACCTGGTGCTTAGCTACGAGACCGTTACAACAACATGGAGCCCTGGAAAGATCCACAATGAGCTTGGCATTTTGCCACAACAACATCCTGTTCAGCCTTCTTACACTGGCGTTGCTCCAATGGAGATAGATCGCTTTGAGAAAGGAGGCAAGAAGGGAAAGTCAAAAGGTAAGTCCAAAGGAAAAGATACCTCCAAAGGGAAGTCCAAAGGTAAGAACGATAAGGGTAAAGGAAAAGGTACTGGCAAAGATACCTCAAAACGTGTTGCAACCCAGAATGATCAATGTTTGCATTGCGGCAAGTATGGTCACTTTAAAAGGGACTGTTGGAAGTTGAATGGAAAACCTGGTGCTTCTAGAGTGAACCAAGTCTCAGACGAGACCCAGAGCGTTGCTGGCAGTGCTGCTCCTTCGACAGCTTCGACCTCTTTGCCTTCAAGTGCTAGTGCTGTGCGTCTCTTTAGCGCTATGGCCTCACCTGTGATCGAAGAGCTTTGCAGTGAAGATTCTGACTTTGAATTGCGCGACCTCACTGCTTATGACACTGGTGGCAACATCAACATGGTTTCACATGCTGAAGTTTCATTTGATGACAACCTTTGCATGGCCGACACAGCATACATGGAGCGTTTTGTGCACTTTGATATTTCATATAGTGATGATGATGATTCATGGACTGTTTGCAATTCACCCAGCTTCGACTTGCTTTCCAGTGATGTTTGCATTTCTGATGAAGTGGACTGCATTCGAGCAATTGGGTCTACCAGCCCTACGCCTGTGGAGGTGGTGCTGGACTCTGGTGCTGATGGCTCGGTTTTACCACTTGAATATGCCCACATTGGTTTGCACGATGAAAGTTTTCACAAGGACTCTGCATATGTTGATGCCCAAGGTAAGCCAATAAATGTGCGGGGAGCTAGGATTGCTGAAGTCCAACTAGGATCAGTGCGTTTCAAAGAGCGTTTCATTATTGCTGCTGTCACTTCACCACTCATTTCAATGGGTAGACTGTTGAAGGATGGATGGTGTTTGGAAAACAATGGTGGTACTATGACACTTGTGAGAGCTGGCAGGAGTATACCAGTTCATTTCAAACGAAACTCACTTTGTGCACATGGTAGCATTAGGATGCTGAATGTTGTGGACGATTCTTCAACGCCCACTGTCCAAGAGCGCAAGGAACACGTCAGAGCCCTTGCGTTGAGTGAACCACTTTCAAGTCTTGGTCGAGGTTGGATTCAACTTTCTGAAAATGTTTATGCACTGCGTAGTATCTCACCTCAACATGTTGATACAACTTTTTGCGTGAGTGATGCACTATTATGGTTGCGTACAACATTGGTCAAGCATGATGATGATACATGGCACTTGGATGAGTTTTGTGAAAATATTTCAGAAATGGACTCACGAGTTAGTCCAATTGAGTCTGCAAAGAAAGTTGTGGAGGTGATCACGATTGCCCACACGGAGTTTGTTCCACCTGAGGCCCTTGGTTTTTCAGTTTATGATGATGCGGTTGTACCTGCACTTTCAAGTTCTTTTCGTGCTTCAGCTTCATCCAGTTCAGCTCCATCTTCATCTGCGCCCAGGCCTGCAGCTGATGCCAGTGCAGCGCCTGACCCTGTTCCTGCTGCCGCTGATGAACAAGAACTGCCAGTGGCTGATAGAGAAGTTGGTGTAGAAGTTAGAGAAGTTTTGATAGATGGAGTGAAGCTGGACAGCAATTCATCGTTGAACACTTTGAGAGGTGCATGCGACGCCCTTGGACTTTCGAAGGGAGGAGGCAAGGTCAAACTATTGCAAAGACTTTGGGAACACTTGCAAGCTCAAGAACTTATTGCAGCTCACTCTGCAGAACGCAACTTGCAAGGTGAGCAGATGAGACCAGCTATAGGCCAACCAGTTCCTGCTGAACCAACGGAAACGCAACGTGCCCAGCACAATTTGGTGCACTACCCATATGCTGCATGGTGTGAACTCTGTGTTGCAAATCATGCCAGGCAAGATGGACATGAACCTCAACCACATGTCGACTCAGGTCACAGTTGTATTTCTTTCGACTTTGGCTATGCTGCACGAAACGATGATGATGACAAAATTTGTGCACTTTTCTTGCATGACAGGCACACTGGTGCCATGCATACGGTGCCTACACCCCAGAAAGGTGGACGTTGGCTCAACCACCTATGCACGGAGTTTTGCAGGTTCATACTTTGGCTTGGTCATGAAACAATTTCACTGAAGTGCGATCAGGAGCCTTCGACTTTGTCTTTGCTGGAGGCCGTGAGGAAAACCTGTAGGTGCTTGGGAGTCAAAACAATTGTTGAAACTGTTGCCCCTGGCAGCCATGCTTCAAACGGAGCGGCCGAAGTCACAGTGAAGCTGCTTCGACGTCAGGCCAATCTGCTGATACAGCAACTGGAACGTGGCTGTGGAATCCCAGAAGGTACAATTGGATGTCAACACCCTTTGTATTCATGGTCACTTCTTCATGCGGCATGGTTGCATAACAGGTACGTTGTGAAACAGGGACACACTGCTTATGAACTTTGTGCAGATAGAACCTACAGTGGTCGAGTAGCCATGTTTGGTGAATGTGTCTTAGGATACCTACGACAGTCAGCCAAAGGAGCCCCACAATGGACGAAAGGCATTTGGCTTGGGAAAACAATCAACAATGATGTCAACATCGTTGCAGTTCCTGGCAACAACCAACTGTTTGTGACACGTAGTATCAGAAGGTTTCCAAATGCGTGGAATGGTGAGATGATGAGTCAGGTGGAGACCTGCCCTTGGCAATTTTCATATGCCTCTTTAGGTTCTCAGTTGATTTTGGCCAAGAGGATTGCTCCACCAACACCAGCCCCTTTTGTTTCAGCTCCTCTCAGGGATGAAGATGCAGAAGCAGTTAGAAATGTGCCGCCCACTCCAGTTGAGGCGCCGCACAAACCTGTTGTTTTGCCTGCTCCAGTTTCTGGCGTACCAGCTTTGGAAGGTGATGCGTTGGATGAGACTATGGGACAAGCTGCTGAGGCGGGGTCCCTTCCAAGTGCAGTTGGACTGCAAGTTCCTTCGACTCCATTGGATGGAGCAACACATGCTGCAGGCAGTGCTTTGGAAGCACCTTCGAGAGGCATGGACACTTCTTCAGGTGTCGTGCACCCACTTGAGACTGCATCGGAAGAGTCTGAGAGACCTTCAAAACAAGCTAGAATACTAGCTATCTTTGAGCATGAGGATGCTGAGCACCCCACAACATTTGATGATTGTGAGGTTGATGAGTTGGAAGCCTATGACTTTTCGTTGGACGAAGAGCTGAACAACAAAAGTGATGATGTCAGTGATGCTGCTTTGTTGAAACAACTTTGCTTTCCTTACTCCACTGCTGAACCTCAGCTTAGTGAAAGTGAACTACTTCGAATTGACACCATGGCCGATCACCTTGAAATCTCCAGGTTGAAATCAATGGGAGTCTTACTTCCTGCCGACGGCTATGACTACAAAGGTCAAGCACCCAAAAGACTGACAACAAGGATGGTGAGAGCTTGGAGAGATAAACATATAGATGGACAAAGAGTTTGGCTACGTCGATCGAGATACGTAGCACGTGAGTTTGCTTGGTTAAGTCCAGATAGACAAGATTTGTTTTCACCAGCATCTTCAGTGATCACAACAAGGTTACTGCCTACGCTCTTCATGAAGTGGAAGACTGATGGCTATGTGCTATGCTCAATAGATGTTGGTGATGCTTTTCTAATGGTTCCTCAAGAAGAACTCACACAGGTTACATGCGTTGATGCTTCAGGTGCCACCATGGAGTTTGTCCTCGGCCGTGTGCTTCCAGGCCAGAGGAATGGGTCACAGATGTGGCACGATGCTTTTAGCAGTTTCTTGCGTGACGAGCTGAAGATCACCCCTTGTGATGCATACCCCTGCCTACTTCGAGCTGAAAACTCAGAATGCGTCTTGCTGCTGCATGTCGATGATGTTCTTTGCTTGGTGAAAGAGAACTGCCTGAACAACACGTTGGTACCAGCCTTGCGTGCCAAGTACAAGATATCGTTGGATGTAGTTTGCAACGAGGGTGATGAACTTACGTTCTTGAAAAGGAAACATGTGATGGTCAGCCCAAACCAGCTAGCCATACAAAGCCACCCGAAACACCTTAAAAAACTGTTTGAGCTTTTGAAGATCAAACGCAGCCTGATGCCAAAGAAGACACCTGGCCACCCACTGTTGGATGAACCCGACAACTCCAAAGAGTTGGATGCCCAATATGCAAAGATATATAGATCATGTATTGGTATTCTTTTGTATATCTCCAGTGACTACATCGAATGTCAATACAGCATACGTGCGTTGTCGCAGTCGATGTCAAAGCCCACAGTGAACTCGTTTGCATGCTTGCGACACTTGTGTATGTACTTGTTGGGATGCATGGAAAATTGTCTTATTTTGACTTACAAAGGTCACCATGGACTTTTGCACTACACCCCTGAGGACTACAGGTTGGAAGTCTTTTCAGACAGTGATTGAGCGAAACACCGCTCAACCAGGAAATCAGTTTCTTCTGGATTCATATTCCTATTTGGGAACTTACTGTATTCAAGTTCACGATCACAGAAAGCGATAGCACTCTCTTCAGCAGAAGCTGAAATTTATGCAGCAACTAGCGCATGCTGCGATGGTGTACTGTTGGAATACTGCCTGTGTTTCATTGTTGGAGGAGAGAACAAAGTGGTCACCTTCATCAAGATGGACAACTCAGCAGGCAGATCCTTCTTTTTACGTTCTGGAGTGGGACGTATTCGTCATATCAGTGTTCGTGTTTTGTGGATGCAGCAAAGAGTGAAAGAGAAAGGTTTAATTCCTTCAAAAGTTCCCAGCCGTGAGAACCCTGCAGACTTGGGGACCAAACGGTTAGCAAAGGATAGGATGGAATACCTTATGTGTTTATGCAAAGTATACAACATGGACACCTCTGAGTTTGTTGGCATGAATGCCTATGACAAGATACAAGAACAGGACAACATGAAGGCCAGTATTCGACTTCTTAAAGAACAAGGATATAGCGCCCCCAAACAACTTCTGAGAATCCTCCTTCTCGCCTTGAGTCCTTCGGAAATGGCTATGGCAATCTCTACTGATGCAATTTCAGCTGACCTCAGCCCGAGCTCAAGCTTCATGGACTACAAGAATGTGATGATTGCAACCCTGCTTACGCTGCTCTGTGGTGCATTGGCTGTTTGCTTCTACTTGCGCTTTGCACTGGGAGTTGCGAGAGGCGAGACCTTCGCCAAAGGCATGGACCAAAAGTTGCATCAAGTTTTGGATATACTTGAGTATAAAATGGGTTGGGGAATATATGAAGGAAAAGCTGAAACCCTGCAAGAGAAACGTCGCCGTTATTTGGACAGTGAGATGTGTGAAGTTTCAGACGACGAGTTCTGGCGTCACATCCACTATGGACCACCTCTTGAAGATGAGCATGATCACCCAGAAGGTGAGCAATCTGAGTCTCTGCAGTCTGATGACCCTTCAGTTCATCTTTCTGCTCTACCACCTGCAATGCTACAAGCTATGAGAGAAACCAATAGCGTGTTGAGAACCAGGATCGAAAGACTGGAATGTGAATGGGAAGATGCCCAGATTCACAACAATAGCTTGCTCATGGCCCAATTGGAAGGCCAAATTCGAGAGGCCCATGCAATGATGTACTCAGACGTCAATGAGACTTAGAGTCTTGGAAATGTTGCATAGAGAATTTTTGAAAATGAAATGGACAGGAAATCCAATGCCCATTTGCTGTACAGGCTTCGATGACAGCCTGATTGGATTTTAAAACGAAAGTTCAGTTGAAATCCATAGGAATCCAACTGAGGCGGGGTGAAGACAATTTCACTCCATAGAACCTAGCATGGATGTGCAGTACAAATGCATATCATTTGATGTCAGTACAGTTTGGCATGGAAACATTTCATGTCATGTCAGTTGTCATACATGTCCAATTTCATGTATATACTATGGATGAATCCGTAGGCGTTTTTGTGCGAGGATCAAAAGGGCGCTGCCAATCAGTTTGGTATGTTTGGTATGTGCTAAAAAAAATGCGAAAACAGAATGATGAGGGACAAAGTAGCACAAAGTTGGACAAAGGACATCGAAGAACTTAGAACCAAATGTTTCCTCGGTTGGGAATTGATCACCAAAAGACTAGGAAAGTTAACGGAAACTACTGGAAAGTTGTGTTAGAGAAGCGTCCAACCGGGGCAATTGTCAGTTGATTGCACATTGAGATGTTGTAAATGCCAGGTAACTTTGTGTATGGGAGGTTTGTTTATCAGACCTGTTCTCAGTGAAATTCGAGCACGATCACTGCCGAATTCTACATGTTTAGTGCCCGCTTCTACACATATTTGTCAAGTGCCGTGTATGTGAGGCCAAAGACTGTTGAAGGACTTGATGAAGCAGAATGGTACGACACCACCATTTCAGATTGCTGTGCATTGCATCTGTCGATAGGGTACCATGGCAAGGATTGCAGTGACAGTTGAGCATACTTGGCATGTTGAATGCCACGTTTTACTGCATACTTGTCCTATTTTGTGTCAAATCTGCCGCTGTTTCATCAAGCTATATCAAGCTTTCGGGTAGCAAATCCGTCGAATTCTTCGGCCTTCTGTGCTAACCCCATCGGAAAAAGGCTCGATGCTGAAGCTCCTGTAGAGATGGGCGATTTGCGACGCAAAGATATTCCACGTCCACTGCACTCCCACGACTCCATGAAGTTCCATGAAGCTTGCTGTATGCAGAATTCGATTTCTGATCTCCGCGAGGCATGGTCAACGAATCCCTGAGCAGCGTGGGACCAAAGTCATCACAATTAGACGTAGAAACACAGACGTTTTTTTACCAATGCTTTGTACACTGTCTTCAACCCCTTATTGGCACACAAAATGCACAGAGATGTTCTGTTTATTTTGAAATGTTGAAAATTCATTTGGAACACTAAAAAGATTGAATGCATGTGAATCATCATCGGAATCATGTGTGAATCCCATTGAAACCAAACCGCTACTGAAGGTAGGGTGTCGACTTTACTTTGTTTGCCATTGCTTGTACTTTTGGGCTCTTTGGGGCCATTTTTGGTATTCTTTCTTTCACACTGCCACACTGTTCTTGTTTGGACACTAAGTTGGCCCAACAGGCTCAAGAAAGAGCTTGGACATGCTATTAGACATGCTATTAGACATGCTATTGGACGTGCTATTACTTCGATTACTTCACCTTAGTTTGATTAGACGTGTTTAGTCTATTTCATGCGTGACCAGACCAGATCAATCAATCCTAACTTGACCTGCTACACTTGCTACATTTTACATCATTTTACTAGTACTTTGTATTATACTTTGTATTATACTTTGTACATTCCAGTTTTTTTGGTGTGCCATCTTCTTTCAACATCTTTCAACAGCAACTATCAAGCTCAACTTCCTGAAATTGTGACAAATGTGTTGCACATTCTGAAAATTTCTGAAAGCCCAGCACCTCAGCACCTCAAAAGAGCTCAGCATAACTGTCAGATCTCTTTGATTTGTTTCGCTCGTTGCCGTCGCCGACTGTAGCCGACTGTAGCCGACTGTAGCCCTGTGTGACAACTTCGCAGGCACGGTGTGGTCTGCACTTTGGATGTCTAGATTAGCAAGCGTACTTCAATCCCAAGAACGCCTAGCGCTTCAAGATGTTTGATACCATGCAATGCCAAAATTTGGGATATTTTGGGTAGCAGCTGTGGCATTTTGAATCTTCGTGTACATCATACACTTCGAAATTTGGGAAGACGTATGGTGGCTGGACTCATGTGACAGCCCGACCAGGCTTGCATGTCAGAGCCGCTGGATGTGGTGCTGCCTAAGCAACTTGGCCTTCATTCGCGTTGCTCCAAGTCCTTGGGTATCCTAGGGAATCCAAGAATCGGAGGGGAGAAACACAAACAACAAAGATCAACAAAGAACATAGCGCGCAAAGTGCAAAGTGTTTTTTTGGCGTTTAGACATGTTTAGACCAGGGCTTAGACCAGCTCGGGCCTGGAGAACAGATCACCTCCTGCTCCACCAATATCTTCGTACTGCAGGTGGGGCTCATTGTGCGAGGCTTCAATCATGGGAGCAAATAGAGATAGATCAGGCAGATGCGGCAGATGAGGCAGATACATAGACAAGTGGGTGGGGCGGTGGGGCACTGCGGCACTGAGGAAAGACTTCACCTATGTTGCGGGGAAGACAGACAGGCCGTGGGAGCACTTCACTGGCAGATGGGAGGCCAGGTGGCTTTCTTGCACGATCTTGGGTTGTGTTACCTTGTGTTACCTTGCGTTACCTTGTTCGCCGTGGAAAGCCGTTCCCAGAAAAATCAATAGGCGGTTTTTTGTTGCTGGAGTGCTATAATTACGTGCTATTCTGCTAGGCGATCAAACCGATCTTGGCAGAAATGCTTGCTGCATCCAGCAAAACAAGGCCATGCAGGACATGGGAATTGCGAGCAATCTGTCACAACACGTCACAACACGTCACAACACGTCACAACAGGTCACAACACGTCAAACGACCAAGTCAGACAACTTAGAGACAGACGACTCAGACGACTCAGACGACTCAAACGACTCAGACGACTCAGACGACTTGCCGCAGCTTCGTCGAAATCTGGACCTGCCTGACCTTGCTGAACTTGCTGATATTGTTGACATTGCACTCATTATACCTTTCCAATGCTTTTCAGTGACTGTGATTTATGTGCGCATGGTGCCACGCGATGCCACATGATGCCGCGTTGCTCAGAATGGCGGGATTTTTGTCTGACCCGAGTCTGGGGCCTGTCCTGCTCTCAACTGTGTGAAGTCATTCGAGCAGTGAGAGTGATGTGAGAATGAGAGAGTGATGTGGAAGGCACATGAAGACACATCATTGTGTGGGCAGAGAGTCGAACCATTTCGATTTGCTTTGCTTTTGTACCCGATTGTTGCTTCAGCTTGTGTGGGAAGTAAGAATATGTAATGTCGTTAATTTGTGTTCTTTCTGGACGGATCCCTGGATGTTAATTCACAGTCACAGTATGTCACAGTAAAGTTTGCACCACTCAACCCCCATCTGCATTTGGTGCTAGAGGAAACATCCAATCTTTACCCAATGCTGATATATGCAGTGCATAAAGATCAGACCCCAGTTGTCCTGCGACCAAAACCTGAGTCAACACATTTGTCTCAACCTGATTCCTCTTGTGCGTTATGTCTCAACCGGGTGGAGTCAAGACGACAGCAGGGTCGGGGTATCCGTACACCTGCTTCGTCTGGGTGTAGCAATGAGCGCTCAATGCCAGGGAAAGGATTGCTTTGACATGTCTACACTGAAATGGTTTGGCTATGTTTGGCCATGTTTGGCTACTTTTGTGCAGTAAATAGTCATCCCTTTCCTAAGCCTAAGGTCAGTGCATGTGAGAACATCTCAGGCACTTTGCAAGTTGGCTGCATTCAGACATGACTCAGTTTAGACTGCGGCACTTTGAGAAAGATAGCTACGTCTGGGTACATCTACGCCGGGTACGTCCTTGACACCGCCGTGGCCAAGGCTCCAGCAATCTATGCTATGCAAGATATAGGCCCTACAGGCCCTTTGCCTCCAGAAAAATCAGATGTGGCGCTGGCATTGAAAGCAGCGCCAACAGCAAGGGGCCCAAGGAATTTCTGAAGTCAGGACCTGCACAGTCACTATGTCATATATTGAAAAGGGATGAAAAGGGGTGAACCCTTGGAATATTGGGAAGGTGGCAGCGAATGCTACGAAACACAGGAGGGAAGCTTACGACCCGTGATTGTGGGAATCCGATACATTCGGAGACCTGGAAGGGAGTGCTCAGCAGGTTCTTAGATGTTCTTAGGAGGTTCTCAGCGGTCTATCCTTTATGCCATGATTCCTGATGAGTCCTGTAGGGGTACCATCTGCTGCCACCACAACAGTCATATCCATCTGGGCTAGTTTAGTGGTCGGCATTTTCTTTTGTGGTGCCTCGTGTCGCCTCAGTCTATGCAACGAATATTTTTTTGAGCGAAGCAAATGGTGAATGAAGCGGAAGAATCGGAGCCAGGAGGATCTGACGAGACATCAAGCTAGCTTTTGGAGATTTTTGGAGTATTATATATATATATGAAATGTCTTGGAATGCTTTAGTCTTGATTTGCACAGCTTTCTTCGCTTTTAGCCTGGATTTCGGATTTGATGTTTTGGTGCGATCAAAGGCATTACTTTTGGCGCATCTGACACTCAGAGAAGCCATTGCAGAGGCAGAGGACTTGCATTAACTCGTTGAAGAAACCATACAGGTGTGATATGTAAACAAGTCTGTAAATAAGACTATATTTACAGACTTTGAAGCTCCGCTCTCCCCGCCGACTTGGCTCAAGTCGTCCGCCGACGACTTGAAGACCGCTACCAGCTCCTGTTCATGGAAAAGTGTTGCCGTGCGCTGCGCTTCTGATAAGGGGGAACTTTGAGAACGGCAAGACCGCTGAGACTGTCTATTACACGAAGGAATATTGAGGTTGAACCCATTCACAGGTTATCAGCCGTACGCTCACTCTGGGCGTGCAGTGGTCCCACAACTTTATCCTCAACCCCTACGGCATCCTGGTCCTCCTGCCCTACTACAAGTCGTGAGCTTGGAGCAAACGGAGGTGGACTGACAACAAGAAGATGTCGCAGAAGAACCAGTCAAGCAGCAACGACACAAGCTTTTCCTTCGGAGCAAATGCAGCTCCGGCCCAGGCAATCAACAACACGCCTGGATCCCAAGAGAGCGGTGGCGGCGGCACGATGTCCTACCGTGCTGCAGGAAGCATAGCATCAACAAGCAGCTTCACAGTGGTCAATCAAGCTGACGTAGTTCGAGGAGGAAGTGCCCGAAGAGCAACATCGGCAAGGTCACCTCGCGCTGCAAGATCTCGCATTGCAGAAGACGGCGGTGGCCGAAGCCCGTCGGGCGCGGCCACGCGGGAGGATGAGGCAGGTAAATCTACCACCTCATCCAAACGCAAGCCATCGACCAGCGCTACGAGGAATGAGAGCGAGGCACGTCTTCGACGTCAACTACAACACAATACCGAGAAGCTGGAGAGGAGCGAACGGGCAAGGACTGAACTGGAAAACAGACTAAGTCTCTATCAGGATGTTCTTGCACACCGTGACCAGATGATTAACAATATGGAAATCTATTCACATCAACATCATGAAGAATATCAAGAACATGTCAACTCCGAGATGGAATTCATGAGAGCTTCCCTCATCGATGCACACCATGTACTTGAAGAGCAGACGATCGCACTGGCTGAGGCGCATCTCCTGGACGAAGGTTCAACAATGAGGATCATCGAGCTGGAGAAGCGTGGTCAACTCGCTGAAGCAGGTGCGGCACACATTGTTCGGGAAAGTATTGAGATGAGGGAAAAGTATCTCACTGAACTAGAGAACGCATCACAACTCATTCGTCAACAACATGACACATCTGAAGCTATGACAATTCACTTTCGTCAAGATGGGCTACAACTGCGTGAAGCATGTACACAGTATGTCCAAGACAGGGAGAATGCGAGCAAGGAAGAAATGGAACAATTGAAACTGAAACTATCAGAGCAATCACATATGATGGCTGACAACAATGAGATGATCATGGAATATGGCCAACAAGCTGTTGCAGTACGTGATGAACAATTGGTAGAGATGCAATCAACCATCGACGAACTGGCCACCAGTTTGTCACACAAGGATAACCTCATTGCTATCAGGGATGATGCGAACCGTGATCACATTGTGAAGGTTCGTGACATGAAGAACATGATTCAGGAGAGAGAGGAAGAATACAACCGGAAGCACAACGAGCTCGAGGTGGAGATCAGAAGCCTCATGAGAATCAATGAGAACGAGAGTGCTACCCGGGAATGGTATACAAATCGATTCATTGATGAGAAGAACGAGTTCCGTCAGTTCAAGCATGATGAACTCAGTGCATTCAAGGACAGGGAGATCACCATCGAGCGCGTCAAGGACGAACTCATGGATGAGAACATGGCTTTGATTGAGTCTACCAACCAGTTGAGAACACGAGTTGCTGAACTTCTTGGCTCTCGATTCCATGCTGGTGGCGATGAAGACAATGCTAAGGTGAATGAAGAACTACGTGAAGAACTTCGCAAAGCCAACATGGAGATCAGTCGACTTCAAGAAGCAGTGGAAAGCAACCCGAAGCTCACTGAGGCACTCATCGACGCCGAAGAGGCAGAGGCAGATAGGTACAAGAAGCTCTATCAGTCGGCATGCTCTGAACGTGACCATGCGATTAGAATCTAAAGAACGATTCATTGAAACAATCACTCCACGATGCAAGACTGACAATGAGTACGGTGCCAGCATCATGGAGCAGAGTATCGACCAGAGCTACAATACCAGCTTCACCATCAGTGGTGCCTCCTACGACCCTGGTTCCGAGGACGACTGCACTTACTGGCAAAACTCCATCATTTGCAGTATCGATTTCAACACCTATGGGTACGCCTAAGGCATCCTCTACGACAAAGAATCATGATCCTGCTCTACCACCACCGCCATCACCTAGCATGAGCAATGCCATCAACAACCAGACCAACAGCGAGATCGATGATCTTCGTGAGAAGCTCCGTCGGTCTGAAGAACGAGCTCAACAGAACTACGACGAGATGAAAGAGTACCAGAGTTGGCTGGAACAAGCTGAAGAAGGGCAAGAATCTTTGAAGGACAGCAAAGCCCCTGAATTCGAGCCCGTTCCTGACAATCCTCCTGGACTTTGGGAACGGAAAGATGGCAAGGATGCTAGTGTTGCAAACAGTGATGCTGGTCAAGATGGCAAAGATTGGGTAACTAGGATTTCCAGGAAGGAGCACGAGAAGGTCACAGTTAAGCCATGGCCAAAATGCCAAGATCTTGATGTTTGGCGTTCCAACGTCGTGCAAGCCGTATGTGTTGCATCAGGTGATCCAGACACGGCTGCATGGAGAAGATGGCTATCTCCTGCCCTATTACCCAGTCCTGACTATGCTGAACTTGCCGATTCAGGAGAATTCCGTTTCCAGTCCATTGACTCCAAGTTGTCCATTGCCTTGCAGAACATGGTAGACTCCGCTGGCGAGACGGCATCAGAGGTCAAGGTTCGGATCAGACAGAGGAGTCAAGTTCTGGGAAAAGAAGGGAATTTCCTGATGGGCAGGGAGATATTGGCAATGGTGTTAGATCATTTCAGAACAACGTCTAAAGATGAAGTATTGTTCAATGCCAGCCACATCTACAAGTTACAGTATCGTGGTGACAAGGAGATGGATAAGTTCCTCCATGCTTGGATTGAGATCATTGCCAACATGAAGGCTGAGGACATTCCATCCGACAACACACTGCGTGATCATCTGCTGAGGAAGATCGATGGTTCCCAGGCATTGCACGTCGACCTCACGATCTTCAAGGGTAGGGACAATGATGACAAGAAGAAATCATATGGTGAACTTTTGGAGATAATGAGGAGGCACATAGCCCGTGCACGCGAAGATCGTAATATCGCGGCCAGGGACAAGTTTGCCACGGACTACACCAATCTTGGTAAGCCTTCTACCCCAGCTCCAAAGCCGACGGCTCCGGCACCTACGCCAAAGGATGGGAAGGGTGGAAAACCGAGTGCTCCAGCACCCAAGGGCAAGCCTGGGGCTCCTGTTCTACCTGCCGGCAATCCTAAGAGCCATGGCAAGGGGAAAGGCAAGGGTGGCAAAAGATCGAGATCACCTTCCACAAGAGATACATCGAAGACCTTTTGTCACTTCCACTTCAACAAGGGCAATTGCAAGCATGGTGACAAATGCCAATACAGTCACTCCCAATATCATTGGGACAAGAGGAAGGACAAAGGTGGCAAGGGCAAGAACAGCAGATCGGCTACTCCAAGAAGATCGCAGACCCCTGGTGGAAAGAAGGATCGACATTGCTATGGTTGGTTAAAGGGCGATTGTCAGAAAGGTGACAAATGTACCTTCAAACATGACCCAAGCATGAAAGGCAAGAGAGCGGCGCCTTCTACAAAGACGCCCGACGCCAAAGCTACTCCGGCATTGGTCCGTGAGTACGATGACGATTTCATCGTGAACGCAGTGCGTATCGAGAAGAAGAATAAGATGGATGTCAAGTTCAATGACAAGGTGGAAACCATCGTGTATGTGAAGCCTGACTTTGTGGAATGTTCCAGCAGGAAGCCAAAGAGAAACATGTCCAGAGCTCAGAAGAAGTCATTGACGTGCAGAACTACCAAAGAAATCATGGATGACCAACAATGGGTACTACAATCCAAGTTGGGAATGACAAGAGCACGGGCAATTGGCATACTGATGGACGACTATGGTGAATTTTCCGACGTTGATGAAGTACACATCATCCTGGGACCCAAGAATGATATCAAACTCAAGATCAACAACATTGATTTCTTGGGGAACAACTCACGAGCTGAGATATGCTATGAGGAAGTGATTCCTCATGTTCCAGGACAATATGGTCGTCGTGACAATGTCATGTGCATCACTATGCCGATCGAGCTCAAGGACCGGCGTTTCATCATGGACTCTGGCAGTGGTCATGATCTTATCTCATCTACGAGAGTGGATAGGATGGACATTGACACCTACCAG